ACCTCTCAACAACAATGAACGAGATGGAGATCTCTCTCCCTCTCAACAACAATGAACGAGGAATCTCAAGTAAGACCCAATTATATATTCTTTTTAATATTTATTAATTTATATCTTAAATATTTTTATTTTATTCTTGTGTGAGATCTAACATGCTATAGTTTTGAGTGGGATCCACCTGTAATTTATCAGTTTTTTTACTTGAATAGTGCCACATCAATATTTTTTAATATTTTATTCGTTATTTAATGAATTTGTCAACACCATTTCAAACATCGTATGTTTTTGCCTATGATTGGCCTTTTCTCCGAAGTCTGGGGTAAAAAATGGCCCTTTAAATTCTTTAGGGTTGAAATTAGCCTTTTGACAAAGTATATGTTTGGCATCAATGCTGCAGTTGTAGCACCGTTTTCTCTGCTAATGTGTGGCTTGGAGCATTGTTTTCTCATAAAACGGTGCCTTTATTTTTATTTGGAATCATTGCTACCAGACGTTTCCTGGAGCAACAACAACAACATCACTACCATGTTGGCAGCAATGAGCTGTAGCTTCAAGAAATACGAAATTTGATGTTGCTCCAAGCCCATGGCTTCTCGATATCTGAGGCATGGCTTGGAGCACCATTTTTTTATCGAAAAACGGTTCCAAACAAATGCCCATTTCTTGGAGAACCGTTTTTTCTGATGTGGCACTTTTGCTCCAAGAAATGGCAACGATGCCAAACAGCCCCAAAGTTTAAGGGTTTCCAAAGCCAAAAGACCAAAAATAAAGATATAAGTATTAGCTTTATATGATATGATACTTTGATTTAACTTTTATGATGATGTGTACCAAAATTAAGGTAAGTTTCGGCATCATGTAGTATACAATATAGATGTCTTAAATCCTATTATAGCAAAGGTTCAAAGTATTGAAATGCACAGCACAAAAATTACCTATCATGAGATTAAGAGGGGCAATTCACTTTGTTTGAAAAATTTTCAAGCTTCAAGAGTTGAGCCAAGACATCTCTAGGAAAGGTATATTATTATATTACCCTCCAAAAGTGGCCACATGTCCTAGCTTCCAATGCTTAGCAATTTGGTAGATTCAAAAACCAATACATATCTACACCAAGACGTTTGTTTGTACTTTTCTCTTATGTTATTTAGATTGAAATTTAGTTCTTGAGTGCCATAATCCAAATCAATCAGTGATTAATTAAATAAACATTAATAGTAAAAGAAAATCATAAACATATTTCAGAGTTGGAACATTTGACTTCAACTAGTAACTGGGCACATGCGTTGCAAGTAAGAATTTCAAATTACAAATACAATTATTATTATTATTATTATTATTATTATTATTATTATTATTATTATTATTATTATTGTTGTTGTTGTTGTTGTTATTTACCACACATTTTTCTTAGAGTAACAAATATATAATATGAAAAAATGAAGATGTGTCCAAACTTTCTATACATTTTTTATAATTTTTGTATTTTATATATTCTATTTTCTTTCTACAATTGAATTATAATATTATGGATTGACTTATTTGACATGAATGTTTAAATCACTTACCTAGTACCCACCACCCTAACAAAAAGGTGGTCTAATTTTTGGTCGATTTTAATTTTTTTATTTCATTTTCATTATTAATAAAAACAAGTTTTGTAAACCCTTTAATTGGTTGAGAGAATATTAATTAGGATCATAGTAACACATAGGTTATGTTTGTGTCCATATACCTCTAATAAAAGAGAATTTTACGCTCTATCTTTTCGTACATGATGTAATTTTTTGTTTTTCAATTTTGCCCTTATAAATTTCTAAAAGTTGTTATCTATACATCTATATAATGTGTCATTGAATTTCTAATTATTTACAACAATGCCATCATTTAAGATAAATGTAATCATGATACTTTCTCCCCCTTTTATATTTGTTACATGTAATTCTTTTAGTCGATGATGTAATTTTTGTTTTCCAAATTTGCCCGTATAAATTTCTAAAATTTCTTATATATACATCTATGTATCTATATAATGTGTCATTAAATTTTAATTGTGTACAATAATGCCATCATATAAAGTAAAATACAAATAATGCTTGCCCAATTCATTATTACATTTTATTTTTACTTTATTATAACACTATTTTTTTAATGTAAAGAAGGTGATTATCCACTCTTTACATTTTGTTATTTTTGTTATAATAATATTTGTACATTAATATTATGAACAAATTAATTGTTCACAATGTGACTTTTCTTCTTGATTTTATTTTAACAAATTATCTTTCATAATAATAAATTTTACTATTATATATATTTTCACATTAGATATATCATACACATGCGTAGCACTTGCCCATGCCCTTCTGCTAGTTGATAGAAAAATAAGAGAGAACAAGAAGTTGAAAAAGGAAAGTTCTAGAAAACTTGTGAAATTCCTTTAAGTTTCCTTTAATTTTCTTTTCTTAATCTCTCTTGTTTGATATCTCAAACCAAATACAACCATGAAATCACATAATTAATGTATCGTATAAACTAATATCAGACGACTTATAAATTCACAAGCAGAAAAAGTCAAGGTTGATTAACAACTGAACATATAATACTGTAGTTATAAAATACCTCCACCATCATACCAGTTCAGAAAACCTCTTATGCCATTGAGTGGAAGTCTTCATCCACTTGGGCCCCATAATTGATTATACTAACTATAAATATTGATTTTATGTGTAGAAATAAATAATGCCCACGGCCCTGTCCATATTTGAGTTAAATACTTGGCCCAGATGAAGAAGTGAAGAACTTTCCATGATGGAACATTTTGTTTATTTCCTAAATTTTGCTTCAACTGACCTTTAAGTCTCTCTGAAGTTAAGTGATCAGTCCCATCCCCATAATTAAAGATTCAACCCCCCAAGATGGAGCTCGGATCTCCTGTCCACGGAAACCATGTTCACGTTTATTGCAGCTATACATGAAGGACATCTCATCTTCTGCATAATATTATGGAGTGTGAGATCTTTTCAATTCATGGGGGTAATCTATTGTGAATAGGTATGGGCAGGAGATCTGGAGTCGCATAGACCTTATTATGCTTGGGTTCTTCTACCATGATTAGACCTGTTCATGGGCTGGGTAGCCTGATGGCCGGCCCGGCCCGACCTGCACCCCGGTCGGGCTTGGTCATGTAATTAGGCCCGTGGGCCTAACACAATAAGCCCGATTGTATTACGGGCCGGGCTTGGGATTTGTCAAAAAAGCCCGACCCAAGCCCGGCCTAGCCCGATTCAGCATTATATATTTTATAAAATATATAAAATGTATTTTATATATTATCTAAAATATATAATTAATATAATATTTATTGAAATATATATATTTATATTTTAATATACACATATTTTTTTATTTTTTTCTTTATAATTTCTCTTTCATTCTCTCATTCTCTCTATTCAGCCACTTCAACAGTAGTAACAACATGGGCTAAATTTCGGACTCGGGCCTAGACTCGGGTTTCGGGCTTTTTATGAGGGCCAGGCTCGGGCTCGGGCCTTAGAAAAATCTATTAATACAGAGCAAAAGTCCGGCCCAAACCCGGCCCATGAACAGGACTAACCATAATAGGTTTGACTTGACCCACGCGCTTGGGTTAAGAAGTTGGTCCAAATCAAAAAGAGAAGAATTCTCCAATTTCCACGATGCTTCTTTGCATGATGCGTCAACCGACCCTGCTGTCCCAGCCCATCACCCATCATCCAACAGAAACTACGAGGAGAAAAACTGGGCTTAAATCGGACTGCATGAATTTTAGTGGGCTGGGTTTTTCGACAACCCTACGTTTGACTTGACCTACGCGGTTGCACACTTACACCTCAGCCATGGTCAAGGTAACACAAGGGCTTGTTTGGGAGTAACCGAAATGACTGATAATGGTAGATTTGAGTTCTCTGGATGTTTCAAACATTTGAAAAACTAGAAGCTGATGTGCCTCAACCCTCCCAAACAGGCAATAGCTGTTCGGATCTGATCCACCACCCGATCCATCTGGGCCAACCCAAAACAAAATTAATGATTTTTTTTCACAATGATCTATGTTAATTTTAGCCGTTGGGAAATCCAAAGCCCAAAGGGTTAAGATCCACAAACCACCCCATAGATGAGCGGTTCGTGTTACGAGTTCGGATCCAATCTCTTCCCAACAAGGCGACAACATACGTGCAGTCCAACATATCCAGCTCGGATCTGTGGGCCGTGGGGTGCGTTCTATGGGCAGCTGATCCAAAAACCCACCAAGCCCTCCCCATTGGTACCGAGATTATATTGGCGCCCCATACTTAAGAATTGGGATTTTTCCTCTCACAGGGTGCCTCATACCCACCTTACAGGTACATCCTACCATGCAACAGGAACATCTCTATCATGCTTGAGATCAATTTGTAAGGAGCAGATTCGGTTTTTATACTTAATTAGTTATGGGAAATATTCCCAATACATGGGTGTGAGGTGATTTGGGGTGCGAATGTAATGATTACCCATGCGGCCATGCCTCGCTACAGTTCTCAATGCATACCAGTAATATCACGTAGGTGGGAAATCTGAATTGATTTATATCTCAGTTAAACTTCTCATACATGACGGGTTTTAATTTTAGGTCAGATTCCTACCAACGAAGCACTCCCAATAGCGTGTTGGTACTTGGTAGTATTTGATGAAGTTGAAAGGATAGTCGAACTTGGAACGCGTTTATTACTTGGCTGGACTCTGGAGATCCCAACTCTTGTGACTTATCAAGCACATCGTGGGATATCTGGTATGGCCAGAATATATTCCAATCCAACGACACATAATCACTCTTCAAATGAAGGAAAAGGAACCAATTAGTCATAATAAAAAATTTTCTCATTTATTTTTAATTTACCAAGAAAGTGTTAAAACCTGCAATTCCATGGAAAAGATAATCAAAGGTAATTAGCATTGATTAAATCAGTATTATCACAAAACATACACCTGAGAAGCTGGTTTAGACGTAGCAGACGTAACTGGGTTGGCTTTCTTTTTGGTTTCTGGTTCGCTTCAGGATAAACCCAGTCAACACCGACGGTGACTTACATCCCATCTCCTTCACCTTCCCTCCACCTCTGGTCTGCAATTATTCTCTCCAATAAAAAACCCTAAATCCTGAAATTCCAGCATAGCGAGTCAAATTAATTAAAAAACCGAAGAATGCGTGTTCTGGATTCCAAATAGTTTTGAACGCTTCTGATCGTCGACACTCGAGAGTTCTCGAAGAGATGGTGTCCGAGATCGAGGTCGTCGACGAAGGAAATAGCCGAAACCGCGAGACGAGTAACAGTGACGGTGATTCGGCGGAGACGAACGGCGTTGGCGGAGGTGATGAGAGCCTTAGGAACGATGTGTACACGGCTGCGGCGTATGGTGATATGGAGAAGTTGCATAGGTTGGTCAAGTATGAGGGATGCTCGGTTTCTGAACCTGACGGACTTGGGTATTATGCGTTGCAGTGGGCGGCTTTGAACAATCGGACCGTGGCTGCACAATATATAATCGAGGTTTGGATGCATTCCTTTTTTTTCATTGTTGGAATTTTTGGTGAGGATTTTTAGTTGGTTGTATGGCTAAGGTTTTAAGTTGTAGGCGAGGTTATCAGAAAAAAAAGTTCCTAATTAACCTTTTTATTGGAGAATTTGAATAAGTTGATTTCTTACTTCTCTGTACGCTTGCTGATGGGAATGGAATATTTATATGATTTTAGTTGGACTATGAATGTGGGCACTGTCAGTCGATTTGTTCTTGCATAACAGACATTAACAGCATGGATGAGATGGGGTTTATTTGTAATCAAATGGATGAGCTTTAAATTGTCCTTTTACTGTATTTGATTGGGTTTGTCATTGAAGCATAGGTGAAGGAAAGTTAGTGCTAAATCGATGGTTTTTTATTTATTTGCCAGCATGGAGGGGATGTGAATGTAGCCGATCACACTGGACAGACAGCACTGCATTGGAGTGCTGTAAGGGGTGCAATCCAGGTTGCTGAGCTCTTACTCCAGGAGGGTGCTCGGGTCAATGCTGCTGATTTGTATGGTTATCAGGTCTGTAAAATTGGCAAACAAACTAAGAGTCTTTTGAAAGTACATCTATAGGGACTTGGGAATGTAGAACTAAATGCATTGATCAGATGCACTCAAAACTAATTCAATGTCGATTTGTTTAGTAGTGAACTTGTCAGCATGTTTACATCCATGAACATCGATTATTTGGAAAATGTTGCCATGTGAAGGATGCTGATGTTCAATTAGGAGAATTATGACATTCAATTCTGGGGGCAGCCCTTTCAAAATTTAGGCTGCTTTTTAACATAAAGTGGTTATCCCATTCCTCAGTAAACTGAGGAGTGTGGAATAGTTCATGGTAAATTCAGTGAGGTAGGATGGCATATCGATTGAGTTGGGGGGGGGGGGCTTCCATATTCTGTTAAGAGTGGTCATAAAAGTTATCTTACACTCATTAAGGTCTACTTTCTTAAAACCCCAAACTCTGTGTGTTATACTCAATTTGTTCCTGGATGGTTATATTGTATTTTAAAGTAATAATGACTTGTCTGCCCCCATTTTCACTAATTGTTGCTTGTTGGTATAAGTTATAATTAGAGAACCACAGGGACATCTTTCATTCCACTGCTCTCTTTAGATTCAATTTTATGCGAGTGGCTTATAGAAGAACACATTATTAGCAAATGTTAGGCCATGCATGATAGTACTTTGGGGGTCATTTGACCTCAATCAACCCCATAATGCATGTCTCTTATGATTCTAATGGCCAGCTGGTAAATTTCTTTTGATTTCTTAGTTGCCTTTTATAGGTTTGATTTTGATCTCCTAGCTGTCCATGTTTGACAACCTGTGTTGTCCATATGCTCTCTCCACGTGACATGTTAGTCCATACAGCCATGTCTTTAGTACTATCACTAAAAGTTTTCCCTATTAGATGGCTTATCTGGTACTTACAACCAAAGTAGAAAGGGAGCTACTACCTTAAATCCAATGGCCATTACATGAATGAAAAAACAGAACAAGAAACTAAGGAAAATAAGGACAAAACACAAAAGAGGGAGCTGATGGAAAAGACAAAAAACCTAAATCAAGGGATGATGGGACAAAATCTCTCTACAACTCAAATCCACCATCTTTATTTTTTTTTGATAAATTTCAGTCATTATTCTTGTTTTTGCATTGAGAAAATTTACTACCAAGTGCCAGGCAGTCAGCAACCATCTAAAATTTCACCTGATTGCAGACAGCTCATGTTGCAGCACAATATGGTCAGACAGCATTCCTTTATCATATAGTTACAAAATGGAATGCAGATCCTGATGTTCCTGATAATGATGGAAGAAGCCCTCTACATTGGTATATCAAAACTGTAACTTTACCTATTTCTTTTGACTTATAGTGTAAGATTATTTCTATTATTCACAATTCTGTCCACAGATTATATATGTTAAATGTCCAAATACATAGAAAGTAATTTTTCACATTACATTTCAATCCACAACCACCACACACGTATTTATTAATATTTACCATTTGCAACAGAAGCATAAGATAACATAATAAAGTTTAACTTTTTAAAGCCAATTAGTTGACATAAAATTTCTCATTAACCAAGATACGATGGGAAATATTCTAAAGAAGTGCTTAAATGTCTTTTAGACAAGCCAAGTTAATCTTATTCTGATTAAAGATTTTAAAACAAAAAAACACCTTGAAAAAGTAACAGAAAACAGAAATGACAAGGAACAAAGTCCCAGTCAGTGCTGTTAATCTTGAGAGGTGATGCTAGTTGTTTTGACCTGACTAGGCAATGTGGTGACTATTTGGTGCTTATGCATTTACTAGTTCACCTCAAAAGATTCATAACTGTTGAATTCTTTTTTTCCTCTTTTTTGATAGGAAATGGTAAATGTCATAAAATGTATGATCAATGCCATTCAGCCATTATAAGTTGATATAAACTGTATTATGCAACAAAAAATGATATAAAACATTTAGCACATACTCTTCATTTTGCACATGCAAAAAGAAAGGCTGGGTGGGCTGAGATGGAAGTATCAGTTTTTGTTTTCTAAAAGAACGAGCCCAACCTTGGCTGTCTGATTTGATCTCCTTGTTTTGACTCTATTGTCTATATGAACACACCACCACTCAGAACATAATTACTTAGTTTGTAGGTCATTTTGTTTTTATTTGGGTTCATAGCTTGTAAGTTACCATCCTTTAGTTAACCAGGTTTGCTTTGCTAGGGTTAGGATTTTATTTTATTTTATTTATTTTGCTAAACTATTTTAGTTGGTTCAGTGTTTTAAAAGCGCAAGGGGCAATTTGTGCCTGAGGCGCAAGGCGAGGTGCACCTTTTTGAAACAAGGCACAAAAATACAAAAAAAAAAAAAACCACAATCTCCTTTTTTCCTCAATTGCATTACTTCAAGTATCTAATGGATGCCAAGGAACTTGTCAATTTAGGTGGGATAGGTAAGGAGATCTGCCAACAGTTTGGCAGATAGCTTAGCAAAGCAAGGGGTTCACAAAATAGATATGTTTTGGGCACATTTGTAATTCTTTACTGGGTCAGCTTACTATGCTGATTTCTTTTGTAACTATTGCTGTATCCTAAAGTATTTTAATCAACAAAAGTTTCAAAGTTGTTGATCAAAAAAAAAAAAAAAATTCTATGAGCAGCCTTTGTACCACGCCCCTCAAGGCAAGCCCAAACAAGTCCATGTTAGGGTCTTAAGTTCTTAATTCTCTCATAAAAATAATGATATTATAATTTTAATTTCCTTTTAAGAAGATATTTTATTAAATTGAATGAATGAACAACATTAGCAAATAAGGGGTTCTTGGAAAGGGCTGGTGCACCTTTTGAAAGAGCTGGGCAAGGTGCATACCCTAAAATGTGCCTTGTCTATGTGCCTGGGTGCGCCTGAGGCACAATCACTGAGTTGTCTAATATAAATCTCCTTATACAATGTTTTATTTGATAGAGAGACACAAGTAAATTTATTTTTGCACATGTTTTAAAATGGAAGAGATACACAATTAGATTCTTTGACCTTATGTTATCAGGTCTCTAATTAGTTATATTAGGTGTTATTACATTCATGTTTTTAGGTTACCAGTTTTTTTCTCTTTGTTTAATTGTATCAAACACTTTGAGGTTCACTTATTTATATAGTTTATCTCTATAAAGCCGCTGATTTATTACTGTAGTCCTTTTTTTGATCAATAATAGAAAATTTTATTAAGAACTTAAAAGATGATACAAGAGAAAAGGGGAGGGATAAGCTCTCTTAACCCTCCCCAACAAAATATACAAGCTTACAACAAAGCCCAAAACAAGTTTCCCCTTCCCACCCTTTGTTTATCAAGTACATCAGAAAAGGAGTTAGCACTTCTCTTCACCCATTTAAATCTCACTTCCATATCCTGGGCAGTGATTTAAAAGGAGTTAGAACCCCTTGTTGAGCAAGTACTGATGTGCCTCACATAGCCCCCAGGTGCAACACTTTCAAAAGGAATGCGCCTGGTGCACCTTGCGCTTCAAAAGGTGGTTCGTAGAATTAGGAATGCATAATGTTTAACATCACATTAGCTATTTGAAGTTATGCAATTGGAAAAAAAAATAAAGAGATTGAGAGCTTTACATGCTTGAATATGTTTTATATGTTATGCTTGATTTTATTTTTAAACTTTCATTTTAAATATGTTTTGCATGTTATGCTTATGTATCTTAATTTGGCTTAATAGTTTTTTTAAATATTTATTTTAAAATTTAAGTTTACATTTTTAATTAGTATTATGTTCAATCGTTTTTATTTTTTTATTGTTTTTTGAATTTTTTGCACTTTGCTTCGAAAAGGCGCATGCCTCGCACCTCAGGCGCATAATGCCCCTTGCACTTTTTTTGTGCCTTGTGCTTTTAAAATACTGATTTTGGGTCTGCCATTTAAACCTTCTTATTTCATTTACACAATGCAAGAACCCATATTCCTCTTTTTGTAGCCAATTAATCACCAGCATAGAGTCGCCTTAAGCAATCAATCTTCTAATATTTAGCTCTTTTTCCCTTTGTACTCCTTCCAATACAGCCATAATCTCAGCTCTAAGTTAGTCGCCTGTACCAATTGGTCCTGAGAATAATGCAATAATTTTTCATTTATCTCTGAAGACACCCTTAATACCTGAAGAACCTGGTTACCTTCACTACTCCCATCAAAGTTCAGCTTAATGAAACCTTCAACTGGTGGGGATCAAAAAAGGCCTGATTTCAGCCATAGATGCAGCTGAGTCAGCCACTTCCAATTGCTAAGTAGAGTATCTGTAGAAATATCCTCGAAAATTTCCAAGGATTTCACCCACTGCAGCACTCTGATAGTAATAACTTTAATAATTAATGCTTCCCTGCTTCCCTCCTTTTTAGAGAATATTTCAGATTTCTTTCTTCCCAGATTGTCAACAGACAGCCGTTCTAGTGCATCTCCAAAGAATTGTAGTCTTTCTCTTCCAAAGTATAAGTATCACAGTTGCAATTTGGTTTGAGTTTAACCAATATCCACAAAATTGGTATGTAATATGATTTGGGTAACTGTGAATTGGAAGATGACCTAGAAGAACTGCTTTTCCATTATCCCTTTATTGTTGCCTTCTTTCTGTTTTATGTACTCTCACTCAACAACATGCATTTAAAATGCTTAAAGCAACTGGCATACATAAAACAAAATTAAGGCATAATATATATTATCTTAAGAATTATAAAAAATATAACATTATCTTAAATGGTTAAAGATTACCATAAAATCTCGGGCTGACAGGTTTTTGTTGATCAATAACAGAAATTTTAATAAGATCAACAATTACAGATTTTATGGTCTTCAACCATAAAATCTCTTAGCCCTCCCCAAGGACAACAACCAAACAAAAATTACAAACAAGCCCACAGAGATTGAATGCTTCCCACCCCCTGTTTGGCTAAGGCATTAGCAAAGGAGTTAGCACTCCTTTTAACACACTGAAATCTCACTTCCATGCCTTGGGCTGACAAGTTTGAGAATGCAGGTTTGAGTTAAAGAGTGATAACTTTGTGCTAAAAAAATGCCAAAGATTAGGTCTTTAACCATAAACAAGTTAGATAAGGGTAATATAAGTATAATATTATATCAAATAGTTGGTAAAAGAAAGAAACACAAATAAATGTAGCTCAACAATTAAGTTGTGGTTGCATCTTGTGCGCTTGTAACTGCTTTAATCCTTTGTCAATAAAACCTATTTATTTATAAAAAAAAACAATTAATTTGTGGTTAATGAGGGTGGTATTTGGTACTTTCGTGTTGCCTTTCCCATTTTGACTCCATGTAAGCACCACATAGGCAGTTTGACTTTAACATAGCAAAAACGAATTTAGTTGGGCAGATTTAACTTAGAACAGGGACACCACATTTGCATGAGTTATATGTGCAGTTGGGGGGTTTGTTTGGGATGGGTCCCGTTAAGAAGATGAAGGGACCAGAGAAGATTATTAAGAAAAGTAACGAGGGTTTGGTCCAAGTTATTGGATCAAATGGGCAAAGGGGTTTGGGGATTTTCTTTATCAAAAGGGCTGAGAGGTTTGTTGTAACAGGGTAGTGTTTCTTTGGGTTGAAGGTTAAAAAGTTTTTGGGTGAAGGTTTTGGTTTCTTTTTATCTTTATGTATTTTAAGGTTTGTTGGTGGGGTTGGCTGGAGCTTGTCTTGGGTTTTTTTAATTGATTTTGGTGGCTTTATATCACCTTTCTTGTAATTCTCTTTTTTCTTCAAGTAAAATTTCTTTTATATTTGTTTTAAAAAAAGTGCAGTTGGGGGAAACGTCAAAAAGATGTTTCTTGTATCTGGGGGGGCGTTACCACTCCAGTTGTCCCGTGTGGCACCTAATGGCACCTACATGTTTGAAACTATATTAAGCTATTGAGAATCGTGTTTTGTCTTTTGTGCTAAAACATCTCACTTTCGCTATTCCACAATTTCATGATTCAAGCTGAAATGTTCAAGATTGAAACATCATAGTACCAAACACCATGTAGTTAATTAAGGCAAGGTTTAAAGTATTTTTTTTTGATAATTGAAAATGATTTCATTAATCAAGAGAAATAAAACTTTCCAAGAATCCCATGGAGAGGCACGAGATGCAGCCTCCCCTAAACATTACAAGAGATCAGAAATAAAGATTACAATGCTGCCCAAAATAAACGATCCCTAGTAGACCCCTGTTTAGGAAGATAATCAGCCAAGGCATTTGCCTCCCTACCCACCCACTGATATCTACATGTTATGTGCCTTGTTAAACATTTAACTATTTTTTATAAGATCCATATAACT